GGAACGGGGGACATGTTCTAACACTCTGGGCAGTCTGCAGATGGAATGAGCTGGAAGGTGCGACGGTAAGCCCCCCATCGCCAGACGAAGGCAAGCAAAGCGGAAGACCGCGCGCGCGGGCCGGGCGGGGGTGGGCCGCGCGGGCGCGGGAGCGAGGGCGCGTGAACCGGGCAGTAGGTCCCCAGGCCGCAGCGGGAGGGGCGCGGGGGCTTGCGCGAGGCAGGGCGTGGCGCGGGCGTGTGCGGGAGCCGGGACACCGGCCGGCCGGCCGCCCAGGGGGCCAGGCGTGCTCTGGGTCTATTCCGGGAGCGGCGTGGAGGGGCGGGCGCGCGCGGGCGGGGGCGCCGGGCGGGGGCGCCGGGCGGGCATCCTGTCTGGGGGAGGGGACGCGCGCGGAGGGCGCTCCCGCGGGGCCGGGCCGGAGAGCCGCCAGCCCCGCCGGAGCCGCTGCGCCCTGCTCCGCGCGCCCGGGGACCGCCGGCGCCATGGACCGAAGCCGGGGTAAGAGGAGCCGCGGCGCCCGCACTGGCGACCGCGCGGGGCGGGGAGGGAGAACGGCGATCCAGGGGCCCGAGAGGAAGAGGAGGGTGGAGGGCTGAGGAGGAGTCGGAGCGGGCGCGGGGTCGGGGGTGGGAGGCCCGGGGCGGGGTGGACAGGTGCCTCCTGCGGCTGGGGCAGCCCGGGTGTAGATTAGTCCCTCGCGTCCCGGGGCCGAGTGGCCTCCTGTGTGTAAGACCAGTTTCATACACTCAGAGTCAACTTCATGAAAGAACGCCCCACAGGATTCCTGGGGACAGCGAGCTCCTCCCACCCCCATTCCCCTCTGGAAGGGTAAGATAGGGTTGGCAGGTACACTCCCCAACACCGGGACGTGTGAAGCCCGCAGCGTGAGCCCCGCGAGACGCCCCGGGAGCCCCGAGTTTGCAGCTGCCTAGGGCAGTGAGAGAAGGAGGGACAGGCGTGCGTGCCAGGGTGCGCGTGGGTGTCTGAGCCCGCCTCTGCCTCCGACAAGCTGTGTGACCTTCGTCCAGTCCCTCTCCCTCTCTGGACTAGTGACAAAGTTGGATTGATGGTCTCTGTGAGGCCCCTTCTTGCTCCGACGCTTTTTCAGGAGTTGAGTGTGTTTGATAAAAGTTTCAGAGATTAGGGAGGGCATGTGTAAATTGACGTGAGAAAAGATAGCAGCACTTGAGGGGGGCCCTGCTTAAGAAAAGGCCGAGACACTTCAAAGGCATGTGTCCGCAAAAAAGGGGCCTGCTTGGACATGCGGGCAGTGTCTAAGGCTGGGAATCAGAACACCGGGGTCCCATCCACCCACCTCTACAGGCAGAGAGATCACAGTTATGAATGCGCTTGGTAAACTGGCCAGTGGTGTGCCAGCATGAGAAGCATTATTATTCTTGTTGTTATTATTATTAATGGAAAATTCCTCTGCCTCCCTAATAAGCTCACACCTTTCCTCCATCTGCCTGTTAGCTGTGCTGAGGCCCCCAAGGTGGGGGGTAGGGGCAGGAAGAGTGACCAGGGGTGTGGAAGCAATTAGGAGGGCACCGGGGTCAGGGATGAGTGCATGAACAGGTTTCAGGATGAGCTGGCTGGCACTCCCAGTATGGAACAGCCAGGCTTAAGGACCCCAGCTTCCAGGTCAAGATGCTCCGGACTTCTCCACCCACCTGGTCCCAGCACAAAATACCGCACACACCTTCTCCTTTCAGGCTGGGAAGGGCAGGCAGGAAATAGGGGTTCCCTTTGGCTCTTTGGAGACTGAAGCTGTGATTTGTAAAGCAGTTCTCACCTGTTAACTGACTGCTGGACAAGTTTACAAAGAGCACACACACTCGCGAGGGAGGAAAAACAGAGAGAAGAGACACCTCTAATGTCCCTCAGTCCTCAGTTCCCACCTCCCGTGTGGTACATCTAAAGCAAAGAGCACTCGCCCCTGAGATAAAGTTGTTAAATATCACCCTGTCTGGTCCCCAGTACAAAAATCCATATCTAACCTACTCAGAATTGTGGGAGGACTGTGCCCTCCTTAGACAGACCAAGGATGACAATAATTCAGTTAGCTTAAAATGCTTAATAACTGACACCTCACTTAAGAAGGCTGTCTCCAGATCACTTCTCCTAGGAACCCGGACTTCCTGGGACTCTGCTAGTACTCAAAACGTTCTAGAGCTCTCTCCCATCCTGCAGGCTTTCCCAGCCTACTTTCCTTCTCCTTCACAGTTCTTGTCTCAATGTGCTGTTACTCGAAGGGTTTACCGTCCCTGCCCAAATGGAAGCTTCTGGAAGGTAGGGAGTGGATCTGTGCAGTCACTCTGCTGACACAATACCTGGCACACAGGAGGAGCTCACTAAGAGTGGTTCAATTTGTTAGCTGGGTAATATGAAACACACTTGGTAGTGCATCCCAAGTTGATTAATTGTACTGTTGATTTTTAAAAGAGAATATGCATCAGAACAGTTCTTTGTGACTTGCAGGGGCCTTCTCAAAATGTGAGTAAAGTGGTCATGTGGCCAGGGCACACAAGACCAGGCTATCTATCTAGATCCTAAGTTGTCTACCCTGAGAAATCACTGCAAACATCTTAGGAATTAAAGCAAACCATATATGAATTAGAATGTGAAACCCGTATGCATTTTCAAAATAAAGCATGAGGCTTCAAAATGCATTCCAGCAGAACTTTTTTGTTGTGCCCCTGTCACCAGGTGGGTGGGTGTACTCACTTCTGTTGTCAGGGAAGGTTTAAGAAGCAGAGGTCTCATTTCAACCCCATGCCTACCACGTGGGGAGTGGGATTGTCATGCCCCAGATACTGGGGAGGAAACTCCACTTCAGTGTTAATAACAATAGCAGCTGAAATCATCATAGGAGAGCAGGCTTGGCAGGTGTATTAGTCTGGGAGGGCTGCCATAACAAAATATCACAGACCAGGTGGCTTAAACAACAAATTTATTTTCTCACTGTTTGGGAGGCTAGAAATCCAAGATCAAGGTGCTGTCCAGGTTGGTTCCTGGTGTGGCCTTTCTTACAGGCTTGTAGACATCCACCTTCTTGCTGTGTCCTCACCTGACCTCTTTCTTCTCTGTGCACATGTGAAGAGAGAGAGCTCTCTGGTGTCTCTTCCTGTTCTTATAAGGACATGGGTCCTATCAGATTAGGGCCCACCCCTTATGACCTCATTTCACCTTCATTACCTCCCTAAAGGCCTTGTCTCCAAATACAGTCACATTGGAATGTTAGGGCTTCAACATATGAATTTCAGGGGGTTGCACTCCTGTCCAGAGCAGCAGGGTTGGGTCACTGACATGACCTTGCCCAGTCATTTGTTGTGTAAGGGACAGAGCTAGGTTTGAACCAAAGTCCTGATCTTAAGCTGACTACTGCTGCCTCCGCTGTGGCCGGTGACCTGCGCACTCCCTAGAGCAAGGCCTGGACGCCAGGCGGTCCCGCTCCAGCTCCAGGTGCCTCCTCCACACCTCAGCTGTGCTGCTCAGATCTTCAGCAGCAATGACAGCACAAAAGCTCAGCACCAAAGTCAACCGACTTGAGAATGAAAACGAACCTGGGAATTAGGATTTCTCTCCTAACACGGTATGTGTCTTCCCATGAGGAAAGCAAGATTTATATGATGTCAGAACAGACAGTTCTTATAACAAAATCCCTTCCAGGGCGCCTGGGTGGCTCAGTCGTTAAGCGTCTGCCTTCGGCTCAGGTCATGATCCCGGGGTCCTGGGATCGAGCTCCACATCGGGCTCCCTGCTCGGCAGGAAGCCTGCGTCTCCCTCTCCCACTCCCCCTGCTTGTGTTCCCTCTCTCACTGTCTCATTCTCTGTCAAATGAATAAATAACATCTTTAAAAAAATAATGAAATCCCTTCCAGTAGGATTTCCTGATTCATGAATATCGTACAAAAAGAATCGTAGACTGATGGCCACAGACCCCACCTTCTACAGGACAAATTAACTAACTCTCTGTCTTCATATGAGGATAAAAAATATGGATATTGATAATACCTATTTCTTGGGGTTGTTGTAAATATTAAGTGTATGGAGGATACTTCAAACAATGCCTAGCATGTGGGACCCACTCAATCAATACGATTGTAATTACAGTCTTTTTTCATCAGATTCCGCATAATAAAATTGCTTTATAAAGCTTCACTTGGTCCTTCCACAAGCTGGTCTGACTCAGATGACAGATTTTTTAGTCCCTACTCTGTTTTAAGGACTGAGCTAGACAGCTTTGTGTATAACTCAAGGACAGGGTCTGTGTCAAATCTTCTCTGTATCCTGGAGCTCCTTTGTGGTACTTATCCGTTGAAAATACATCTCTGACCTTCAATAATTGGACCACCGTCCAACTAACATCTCTGAGTGACTGATAAAATATTAATACATATGCCAATGTGTCCATTTTCTCTTATTCATCCTATTTATTCGTGCCTACTGACTGGCTGTGTCTTCATAATTTTGCCTCTGCAAACTTTCCAGTCTTCTCAACCCATCCTCTCTTTGAAGCCTTTGGTCTAAATTTTTTCTGATTTTGTCATGTGCCTTCTTAATATCCGAGGTGATGTCTGATCTGCCTGCCTCATGTGAAGTCACTGATTTCCCCCAAGGTTCCTTTCCTTTCCACTTGACTGCTAGTTCTTCTTCATTGAGTTGAATTCAACCCAAGATGGGAATTTTTTTTGCAGTGTGTACTCTTTGGGAGATCATATTGTCTGCTGGGCAACTTAAGAAATAATCTGAAACTGTGTTTTTAATTAAATGAGATTTTTACTGTTCAAGAGATGGTAGAAGAACCCATTCTAACTGTTGTGCTTCTTTTGGACCAGCTTTGAGACCCACGTTAGGAAAGCCACATTTCCTTACCCAACTTCCATGGGCCAAGCAACCTGTAGCTACTTCTAGAGTGAGCTCTCTACAGTGACTCACCACCCAACTTCCACCACCAAGGCCATGAATTCCCATTCGGGCATACCTCTTCCCTGGCATCCAAGTTCATTCTCTACTCCTATCCATTACTGGCCTTCTGAAAGGAACACTCAACCATATTCATCTTTTCCATCCACATATGTCTTGTGCCATCATCTTTGTCAGCCTGGAGACTCGGGAAAGCTGAAAAGGTTCAGAGAATGGATAAATGTGGGTTTGAGGTGTTTTGTTTTTTTTAAGTAGGCTCCGTGCCCAACATGGGGCTTGAACTCATGACCTTGGGATCAAGAGTTGCATGTTCTACCGACTGAACCAACCAGATGCCCCAAGGGTTTGAGTTTGGGCTGTAACTTTCTAGCTGTGTGATCTTGTATGAATTAGATAAATTAATTTCTCTGAACTTCAGTCTCATTTCATTTGCAGTGTCATGGGGAAAGGTAATACATGGAGGCTGGCTCTTAGGAAACATTCGGGAGTGATACCTATTATATTTATCAAATATAATTGCTTGGATTTCAGCCACTCTCTACAATGGGTGTATGTGGTCATATGGGACCATG